CGGAATGGTACCGCAACGTGGAGTCTGTAAAGTTAGTAACGATACCACGTAGCTATTCCTACATTGTTGGTCCTGTCGCTCGAGAGTTGCACTCCTTCATAGACGTAAGTGGTCAAGCTTATGCCTGTGTTTCTTTGAGTTTATTATGAGTAAATCAAGAGTCGCATCATTGAAGCAATCTTCAGCGTCTCGACTTGAATTGCAAGCCCCGCTGTTAGGGGCCAGGTTAGCAACGACGATCTGTGAGCAGCACCGAACAAAGCCCACTAAGCGATATTTCTGGTGCGATTCACAGACCGTTCTGGCTTGGATCCGCAAACCTGCTGGTGATCCCAACGGGTGCGATTCGTAATGTATAAACAACAAATGACATATTTTTAGTCGATATGACGCTCAACAGATATAATTAATTTATGGTATACAGACATTTGACATATTCTTGCATGATATAAGGGTCACTGGGAATAATAGACGATTGATATAACAACTTTCAATCCAATATGCCGATGTCATAATGTTTATTTTATATAAACACTCCAGATATAACATTCAATGAGTATTATGTTGAATGTGTATGTGTGAAAAAAAAATTAATGTAATTCCAGTGGTGTTTAGATGCAACGGTGAATGAACCGATTTGTTTGGATTTCCTAGTTAGTTCAACCTCCTCCTCTGGGTTTAGGATAGATTAGTATATGACAAAGCTGCCAGGACCGAATTTGGTTGCATTTGCTAGTTGGTTCCACCTCCTCCAGTGAGTTTAGGTTAGGTTAGTATATAACAAAGCTGCCAGAATTTATTATTATTATATGATTATTTGTTGTTATATCTTCCATTCCACACCCGATCCCAACACCTTCGTGAGAAATCGTACTAGCGAAATTTCCGAGCTTACTCAACCTTACGAATGGTTTTGGATTCCACCCGAGCTTAATGTGGCTGATGATGCCACTCGAGTCGTGACAGGTGGTAAGGATTCGCTAGTCTGGCTGCGGGGCCCCGACATCATTTTGTCGGGACAAATAGAGTTCCCCGCTGAACCATGCACTCTAGTCAGTGATCACAATGTCAAATCCCTTTTAACGTTAGCTCCTTCCAGGCCCTTCAACATGGTACATCCAAAATGTCAGGATTTTGTTTCTTGGTATGGTATGGCTTCTCCGTGCCACACCCCGAGCCCACCAGTTTTTACTCCTCATTAGAAAAAAAGCTTTTAGTAAACGTCTTCGTGTACGAGAAGGGCCGCGTCTGCTACTCGCCCGAGACGTCAACAATGTTGAATTGCACCTGCTGCACCAAAGTCAATTGGAGAGTCTAAGCAAGAGCCATTTGGAGCGCTTACCTCTAAAGCAGGACGACGATGGCCTGTACTGCCTGGATGGTCTAATCTCTACAGTTAGCAAGGTCGCGGAGGATATGAAGCAACCCTTAGTTTTGATCGGACGCAATCACATAGCTCGGCTCATTGTGAGCTACTATCATGCGTGGGCTGGACACGGCGTTCGCGAGATAGTTGTCAATGAACTTCGGCAGCGCTACTGGGTTATTCAACTACGTCACATGGTCAGAGCAGTAGCTGCAAATTGCCAGATCTACAAAAACAGGAAAGCTTTGCCATCCATTCCACCGACTAGAGTCTTGCCTGCTGAACGCCTCATCCATCACAAGCGTCCCTTTTCCATTTTCGGTTTAGACTATTTCGGCCCTGTGGAAGTCACTGTAGGACATCGTAGAGAGAAGCGTCGGATCGCCCTATTCACTTGCTTCTCAACCAGAGCTGCCCATTTAGAGGTTGTAGAAAGTTTGTCAGCGGATTCTGCGATAGTGACTCTACGTCGTTTTATGTCCAGACGAGGATGTCCGAAGCAGATTTATTCCGACAATGGGACCGCCTTTGTTGGCGACAGCCGCGGAATCGATGGGTGCGGGAGTATTTACTGTTAATTATTCGCTGTTGAACCCAAGAAGGGGGAGGGGGGTGATGTCGTCGTGATATGCGAAGGTAACCAACCGAGAGGAGTGTGTCCACCCCGCTCGAGACCACATTGTCAGGGTAGCGGACGTGAATACGGCTGGTGGAATTTGAAGACGTCCAGTCAGAAAGCTCGCTAATTTGGACGTTAATTTTAGTGACTAAGTTGTTTGTTTTTTTTTTGTTTCTTTTGCATTGCATAGTTTTAACATGGTATTAAGCTACTTAAGGTACTTAAGGTAAACTGCTAGTTTACGAGGAGGGCGATGTCGAGGACAGACCCTCTTTATAGTTTTTAGATGTGTAATTAGTTTATGTTTAGGTCTTTGCCTCTAGGTCCTTTTCTTGTCTCTGCGATTTTTCTTCTGCTGTTTTTACTGTCTTTTTTCTTCTATAATAATACACCTTTTCCTATCTAAACCGCCGTTTCCTTCGCTGTCCTCGATAGGTGCTCATGACAAACATGGAACTAATTTCCAAATCCAAGATGGCGGTCACGACTTTTCGAATAATGGCAAGTTGGATATCGTTTTCGAGGTATTTGGGGGTGCTCTTTACGAATATAGCACTTATTTGTAAATCCAAGATGGCGGATACGATTTTACATATATCGGTATGTTGGGTATTATTTTCGAGGTATTTGGGGGGAGCTCATTACGAATACAGCATTTATTTCTAATCCTAAGATAGCTGGTACGGTTTTTCGAATATTGGCAAGTTGGGTATCGTTTTCGAGGTATTTGGGAGTGCTCATTACGAATACAGCACATATTTCTCGTGCCCGCCATCTTGGATTTAGAAATGAGTGCCATTTTCGTATTGAGCATCCCCAAATACCTCGAAAAGAATACCCATATTGCATTTCTTTGAAAAATTGTATCCGCAATCTTGGATTTACAAATAAGTGCTATATTTGTAATGAGCACCCCCAAATAGCTCGAAAACGATACCCAACTTGCCATTATTCGAAAAATCGTACCCGCCATCTTGGATTTAGAAATGAGTGCCATATTTGTAATGAGCATCCCCAAATACCTCGAAAAGGATACCTGTATTGCATTATAAATGAAAAAAAAAACATTAATTAATGCCACAATCTCAATATCACTCCCAAACAACTCGAAAACGTCTATAATTCTCGTTGTCTCGATCAACAATGTCGAGCATATCGGTAGGCACCTGTTAGGGTACTTTGACACTTGCTGAGTCACCGCCCTTTCACTGCCATGACAAAAAAGTAACTAGTTTCGTATTGAATCTGTGTTTGTATCGTATAATTGAGTAAAATATTTATCATTTGTCTATCGAACCATCTCCTATGTGCTCCACCGCTTGAACTGGAACCCTGCACTGTTAACTCACACTTTCCTCCATTTTACTTAAATAATATGAAACTAAGCAAATTCTTAGTAATAGTAAAATAATATGTCTATTCCATATTACGATTACTTATCTTACTAATTAATACTCAATAGAGTACATGAATTTTATGCTTGATGGAAATTAACTAAAACGCCACGCTATATTTAGAATTCATACAGCAAGTCACCGTGCTGAAATGTACCTAACCATTGTGATTAATACAAGTTACTTGATTTATGTCTGCACAGTATATATCTATTGTAGAGGTATTTGTTGGTACGGAAGTTTGCCAGCTAACTGCGAGGATCAAGTAAGTAAAATATTATAGGTATATAGTTACTATCTTCTCTAGAAAAATGAAAAATAAACCATGCGTCTGCCTGAGTATGCGTGTGCCTTTGTTTTTTAATTTTCTAAAATATATAGGGCATAAAATATTAGTATTGAAATCTTTTTTTTTTTCAATAAACAGGTTATGTAGTTACATACTACGTCATGGTATAATAAATTTAAGCTCGCAACTACTATAAGTTTGGCCTAAAGTAAGCGACGTAAGTCGCCATTAATTATAAAAGAAGCAACTTACAGATAAAAAGTTTATACCTAGAGTTAAAATGTTAAATTTTCACCTTGCACCAGTCGTAAATTAAGTTTCAATACTTTTTGGAAGGACATTTAATTTTCTGAATGTAAGATAGAATATATGCTATCTTTGAGAGGCGAATACAAACTACTCAGTTACCTTCCACGCGGGAAAACTTTCAGTGGAAATCTTCATTTCCTATCTCCTTCATAGCCTTAAGTCAAAACGAGACAGGTGCAGATATTTTAAAGGGTAAATGCACGTTAAATACAATGAACTTAGCGTTGGCGTACTTTAGTGGAAATTATTCATGTCTTTCTACAAACTCATACACTCTATTACGTTACTTGAAAATAAGTAAAAAATTAGGGAACAAAAATATCTGCAAATTTATAAATATCCATGTCCACTTATAAATATAAACCCCACTCGTTTCAAAGAGGTTTGGGTAAAGATATCGATAAAATGTCTTTACAAGGGTATGTAGCCTGTGATAGGGATGTTTATTTATTTTTAACACATTTTTGTAAACGTATACTACAATACTTATAATTATATAGTAGAGACATAGAAATTCTGGAATCACGGATAAAATATTTGTAGTGATTTCTTGTCAACACTTTTACCGATAACTCGTTTTTACTCAACAATTTTAAACAAAACATAAATGGAATGCTTCTTTGTGTGACTGATAACAGATACCCTTCAAGTGCATGAAGGTCGTTACGGATGGCAACTTACCTCTTTACATGCATGGAAAATGACATATTGGCATATTAATAGGTACCTATGTCAGTCTCTATTGGTTCAGTACGAACGATTCAGATAAGAGACCACACTTAATAACACGGAATCGGCTTGAATCGGTCTAAAAAAGCTTTAGTCGAAACGCACGTCTTTTTCACTCTGTTTAAATGGTTTTTCTGATAGTCTTAATGCGAATCTTTGTCTAATGTGGTGACTCCCTAAGTCAACAGCTCTTCACCATTAAAATTCAAAATATAATAGGACAGCTTGTGTTTTCTCACCAGTGTGAAAAAATCTATGAAAAATTAGGTTTACGACAAACGTCATTGGTTTCAGGTCTAAACGAGGCCTACATCGAAGATTCATTATTGAACTCGCGTGCTATCTCGATGAGCTCAGGCTTGGATTCTGCCACAGGCAAACGGAGAACAAAGTCTAACAGATCTTCCAGGTAATTTTTAATATTTAGGAAATAAATTATTACGTTGTCCCTTCAAACTACTTTACCGTTATAAAGTCCAGCACTTTCTAGATCTGTGTGAGTTCGTTTTGATTGTGCTTCGCAAAACAAATATACGAGTTCCACGATTTTCGAATATTGAAACTTCATTTTACGTCTCATAGAAATCAAAGAAGCGAAGAAAAAGTTTTTTTGTGTGAAAACTCGACAATTGTTTGGTTTGAACTCAAAGGGTCAAAAGTTGTATAATAGCTATACTTTTTGGTACAAACCTTTGGGAACTACTTGTATATTTGTATAAATAAGTATGTAACGTTACGAGCGAGTATGTTGTAACAGTAGAAGTAGATTTAAAACCAAATTCTCTGGCGGATAGGTTCAATGAACAAGCTCGGAGGTCAGTATCGTCGTGCACAAACTGCACATTTGATTTATTCATTGCTGGTGTTGCATTTTACGGATCAATCCTACAACTACAAAAACAAAACAACTGTATTATTTTATATTAGCTCCCTCATACTGGAAATAAAAACTATTGAAACTCCTGTCTGTGATTTCAATGTTTCTTTTATGGAATTCGAAAAAAATTGCGTGTAGAGTTTAATAAATATTATTGACTGTTACATATAGCTAAATATTTTAGGGCATTAGCTATCTCCCTTGTAAGAACTCCTAGAGACGTAGTTTCATTTTGGTTACTATGAATTTCAGAATGACTTGGGCGTTCAGTGAAAATTATTCAAACGCCTTTAATCGAGCGATACAAGAGGAGCGATCTAGAGAAATACAGGTGTATACTCAACCTAATCAAGACAATACAAGTATACCGGGTGGCCCGCCTGCGGGCCGTCGGCTTTCCTACCAGCGGGCTGTTTCAGGCGAAGATCCCATGCCGTTCCGCTATCATGACTCCACTCTTAAGAAAAAGCATCTTATTCCAGAAAAGTCTGAGGTGAGCAGTGCATTAATATTTTACGATTTATTGTGGAAAAATGTGTAGTTTCATAGAGTTGTGGTCTCTGTCATCGAATATGTCATTACAAAGCTAATAGTTATTTGTTAAAGCATCATTATTAAATTCACCATAATAGAAAATTACTCGTCGCAGTTATAATCGGCTGCACCGACCCTAAAAGCCACCAAAAACATCATACAGTTCCATTCTGCTATATTATTCATTAGTATATGGTTCATTAATATATAATTATGTGAAAACCATGTTCTGTATATTAATGTTGAATGCTGAACATTAAATAAAAGGTAACGTCCATGTAGGAATAAGCAGATTCGGTAAGAATGTTGGTAGCAAAGATTAGGAGATTTATTTACCTAGAACGACGATTGTTGGCAGCCATTTTTGAAACCCAATTGATATATCTTCAATTTCAGGCAAACTTTTCAATTATTTTTTTGTTACGTGAGATAATTAACATGTTTTTGCTTCTATGTTCGCAATTTTTCGGTTCATTCCGTTATTCATTCGCACGGACCCTAATTCTGTAGGCAAAAAGAAATACTAAAACTTTGCACATAGTAACAGCATGTAAAACCATTTAATTTTTTTTATTATTTTATATACTCTCTTAAGTAGATGAGCGCTTTCCACGACAAATAGTTCAACTGATAATATCTTCTTAAACGTAAAATAGGGAAAATAAATTTGAAATACACTAAATATTAAAAAAAAAGTTTTTGCTTTGATTATCTACAAGTTCAGGTGTTTAAAAAACCTCTTCAACTCATCTTTAATAACTGGTGTTCGTAGTTTCGATATCCAATCATTTAGTTGGATGTTCGGTTCAAATCGAAGCATGTTTTATGTGTTGATCGCGTGATACCCGCACCCCGTACGCCCATCGCCGCCGACGACCTCGCTCCTCAGTTTGCCCTGGACTTCCACCCTTTACTGTAAACATTTCTGCAAAAAATATTTGGCTAACCACTATCTCTAACATTTCAAATAAATTGATAATGTCATGTCATTCACATAATGCACCGTTGAATTGACCATCAAACGTTCTGGATGTTAAGAACCTTAATTAAATAATATTAAATTAATAAGGAAGTTAGCCTAGCAATCCCTTTTAACCTACAAGAATGACTTGCACCGATTTCCTCATTTAGATTTGCAAACAAGTGAGAACGTTATGCAATGATATTCCCTGGTGAGAGGTATTGTTATTGAAAGAAACATATGCTTACAAAAATTTTTGGGGGTTAGGTCAGGCGTAGGTGTAGGTGGTTAGTAAAAGGTGGGTGTGCGCAGGTGGGTGACGCAGCGGCCGCTGTTTAGGCCATATAACCGCCCAAGCGGAGGGCCCACCGCCAGTGCTGGACGGGAGGCCGGCGAGCGAGTCTCGTCCGCCCTTCACCCACGCGTTTAACATTCGTTCGCGATATAACATTTCCAGCCTCAAGTTACTAGAATCCGATATTTTCCTCCGGTCTACTGAAAAACTCGATTTCTATTTAGAATTATGGGTGATATCATTTTAATTAAAAGAATTTGAAGTTGATTAACAACATTTTTCAACGTTGAAACTTATTTTTTTGCCTGAGTTTAAAACAAAAATTCGTAAGCTTGCAAGAAAATCTATTAGAAGTGTGATTGCGATATTGAATAATTATCCGTTTCTCTATCCTGTCTAACAAAAAAAGTGTTTTTGGAATGTGTATTTCTGGATCTGGTACGTAATAAGTAATGTTACATAAAATTCAAAACTTTATTGTCGAACGACGTCTTTCAATCTGAAAGTTATGGACAAATTTAAAATTGAAATTGAAAATCGGGCTTATGACTTAGTTGGAAAGCTGGGCGCGCGAGGATCGAGTGTCGGTGGGTGCGAACTGTTGTAGCGGTGTTCGCGCGATAAAATCTGCCTCTATATTGATTCAGGCCAAGGTGCTTCATTAACACAGCTACGACGAAGCGGGTAGTTAACTCGACCATTGTCGGCAATAGAACCGCGCTTTCTCAATTTCACACTTCATCGTTATTATTGCATATGGTGTGCGTCAGCAATCGTTTCAAGTTTTCTTATTCAAACTACCTTTTGATGAGATACCATAATATTTAACAGATGAATTTCAAATATTTGCTCCATTATTGTTATTATTGACATAATGATTTCAGTACTAATATATTTTAATAATAACTTTATTCTAATTAAATAGGTTGCGTTTTACCCACTGATTTTTACCATCATTATTTAAAGGTTGTTGGATGCAAGAAATTTTATATTAAAAATTGTCTGTGTCTTCTTAGGTAGTATTATTTTACGACTACTTTCGGTGAATACTAATAAAAGTTCAAAATAGTCGTAATGCACATAACAATAAAAATAAGAGCGCACTTGGTTCTTTAACTGAACGTACATAAAATTGGTATTGGTTAAATAGACTAGTCCAGTGTATGGACTCAATTTAAGTGTGTTTTCCAATCGAGCGGGTTTTGGATTTCTATTCGTATTGAATTTTCTCGCATCATCTCGGCGCTAACTTGTTTTTAATGCCGAGTCATCGCGCCCCAGGCCGTCGTCGCGTCGAGGGCTGTGCCACCCCTCGACGATATATCACGGCGCAGCACCTGACTCCTCTCGCACCATTCACCTATATATTCAAATGATAAACTGTCCAACTTTACAGAAAATTGCACACATAAAAGAGTTTGAAAGTTATCTTTGCTGTTATATACAGAGTACCTAATAACTCAGGTACGTACCATTGTACCTGCTTGTAATTTAACAATTCCTAATATTAATTTCACATTTGTGACCGATATATTTGAAAGCGTTGAAATGTTAGAAATTTTAATATCAAAAACAGACAAATACTACCATTTCAACACACAACAGCAAATATTTACATTTTCTTTCAATATTTCCAAATGTTCAAAAAATTAAAATGTAATGGATAAGTCATACGTCACGCTCTTCAAAAGTATCGCTGATTAGGTCTACGCGATAATGAATTATAGAACTAAGTATAAAGCATACTCTCAGATAAAAACATACTCAATTCGAAATAATTGAAAAAATGAAAATCACCATTAGTTAAAAGGCAAGAAGTGGAAACTCGGACGATAAGGGTTTTCGAGAGGGATCAATGGAGTCCGCCTTCTTGCATTTACAGTTCCAGATAAGTCGACGTAGGTATTACTTATACTGTTTATTTAGGAGTTAATATTGATTCGTGAGTGAGTTCATTGAATATGATTGCACGTAGATAACAGTGTTGTTTATAATAAATTTTCCTAATGAGAAAAGTACCACTTCTTCACTTCACCACTTCGTACAGACGAGACCTATTTATTATACCTTAAGAATTTCGCATGCATGCTCCTGTTTGTTTATTAGCGTATAATGTCTCACTATGAAGTAAAAGTCACCCCTATTGTAATATTCCCTATAGTATTTCATAATTAAGTGCCTTTCCAAATTTTATTGGAATTGATCCAGTTAATTCTCTTATAGGGAAAATTACAATCCATCGTTTGAGTTTTCAAAAAGCATTAACAGCGGAAAGGCTATATATCCAATCCAGTCGTTGTAAATATTTTAAGTAATTTACACGTCTTTCGACTAAGTGCTAATACCAGTCACCAAAGTAGCGACCATATATTGAAATATAAAATCATAAGAGAGATATTGTATCTATTGTTGTGTTGAGGTAATTAATTACATAGCTTTGGGCCGGAACTACTCCCACGAGAAATTTGATAAATTGCACAATTCAAAAAGTAATGATGACACAGTAAATTTCTTTTATCGAAATACGCATAAATGTTGATATTTGTAATATCAAGTTATGGGCTAATAGATCTGAGGAGATTTCAACCCTTCCTAGGGTTACTTTAAAAAAAAACTATTTCTATTTTAAAAGTAATACATCTGAGACCCGAGAAATTTAGTACAGTAATTTGTTTCTGTGGTGCGTTTTATAACAACGTAAAGATAGACTAGAGAATAGAATAGACAAATTGCAATAACACTTGTTATGGCTTCCGTTAGTGTTATTATGACGTCACACATAATATTTATCTAAATATTTTTACTTTACAGACGGAATATTTACAGATTTATACATATTCATATATGTCTCGTTAAATATCAATACATTTTTTTTAATAACGCACACACACCCAACCTATCCCCGCGCTAGAATGACCTGTGTCGCGGGTGCCATGGACACACACATAGACAACCACAAATTACACCCAAACTCACAAGAGAAATAAATGTAGGCCATACAAATATTTCTCCTGGCCCAGGAATCGAATTTAACCGTTATGTAACCGTTCGGCCCATGAGGCATTTAAACATACATGCTATATACATTATACATAATGTATAAAATTTGACAAATAAAAAGGGTTTACAGACCGAACCCGCCGATCCGGGCGGGATGGTGTCGGCGGCCTTGTTTCTAGAATCATTCATAGGGTTAGGTTAGAAATAAGGCCGCCGACATCAGCGGGTTCGGTCTGTAGACCCCTGTAGCATAACCATAGACACCATAAACACCAGTGACAGGTACCCGTTAGGTACGGACAACGGCACATCAGACTACACATTTTTGTTCGAAAATTGCTTCCAGTGCAACGGAACAAGATACGTCAATGTACTATTGTACATATTTATTGTACTATTGTATGTACTATTGTGTGTACTATTATCTACATTATCATATTATTGCTCATAATTTATTTGTATATAACTAAAATCGGAATATTCTACTGTTTTGTAGTGGAATCCATACGAAACGAGATTTATGAAATTGTCAAGACGTGTGGGCGTGTTTTTTATTAGTATAATAGATGTTAATTTGGTAGAGAGATCAACTTGAAAAAGTACATGACTGAGATTTTTATATCCTAGACGTCGAGTTCAATTTCCATTGGGAATGTCAACATTCTAGAACAATTAACAATTAAGTTTACTAATTATCGCATCT